GCGATCGGACGCGTCTCGGACGCGTCGACTCTCCGAATTTGCGAAGTTTGTGCGCGCAGGAGTGCGAATTGTGCAAAAGGCCTCCCTAAGACTCAGAAAGGTCCTAAAGGAATCCCTTTTGGGTTTCCTCGTGTCGGGTTCTTGTCGGTTTCATCCTTCTAAGTGCTAGAAGTCGATATCACACACGCGAAGCTCCAAAAGTGGACGGAAGTAGGTCGAACTCCTAAAACGAGGCGGGTCACATTTCTAAGGCTCTAAGATAGTCGCCGGGAGACCCTTAAGGCTAGATCCTAAATCCTAAGAGAAAGACTAGACCTCACTAAAAATGAGGTCAACAAGGTGTTATAAGTGTAAATAACAAAATTTAGGTGGTACATATGTAAATACATAAGAATTATGTGATATGCATCTAAATTTCCAAAAAAGAAAAAATTGTTAGGCATTGTTTGTCAAGCTGTCTTTGACGTCAAATTTGTCATAGTTGTGTGTAGATTTTATGACAGCTATCTGAAATTGCTGCATAATTTTTGTTTCCTGCTCCATCTCAAACGATATTTTTTAACTAGTTCTTTTAAAATTTTTCTAGAGACAGCCTTAATCTCATTTTGTGACCGGCACTTGCAAATGCCCATATACGCATAGGATTAACTGATTAAATGTATGATTAAATCATTGGATGGATAAATAAGAGGAATGGTGGCTGGATTTTATATACTCCTATCGATTGACGTTAATAGATGCTCCGTTTTTCTTGGTAATCATGTCACTCCTGTCTACAGGGCCGGGTGCCGGGAGAACCGTTTGTTGTGAAGCCCACTAAAGATGCTGAAATGGAAAAGATTTTAAAATCCATGGAGGTAGCTTTGCATAATCTATTTGAAAATTTTCTTTCTGTCAATTTTATGCATCTACAATGCCTCAACTCTTAAGCTGGTTTCATGACAGGGCATGCCAGGAGCACCTAGCATGAAGATGTATTCTAGAGACGATCTAATGAGCAATAATTTTGGTGATGAAGATAATGCTGATGATGATGATGATGATATTGATGAAGACTTTGACAAAAATTTAGTATGAAATTTATCTTTCAAAGTCTTAAAGTTTGTATTTCGTGCTAGATTTTGTATCTAAGCTCATTTGTCTGCGTCTATTTAGTGATATTATTGTTAACATGTTTCTGTTCTCCAGAAGAAAGTTCTCAACCAGAAAAGCACTCCAAAGCATGATTTCAAGAAGAAGATACTTCAAGGAATTAAAAAGAGTGGAAGTACAATAAAGTGGCATGTAAACAGTGTCTCAAAGAAAATTAGGAACTGGTGGAAGAGGATGAAAGCAGGTTCGAAATCTTCAGAGTCTAGCAAAAAGGAGCTCTGAATTGAAGCAGGTTATTGTGATGAACAAACTATTTCGTTAATGAGATTTTTTAACTTTTAACTTTATCGCTATTTTTTTATTTTTATTTTTATTTTTATCAACATTAGACTAACCTACTCATAAAAACATGAGGCGTTGTCCTTTTGTTTTTAACATTTTTGCGAATGTGGGTGGTACTATATGGTTCTAAGGATTCAAGTCTTTTTCTCACATATTTTCTAATTTTCTCGGATGCTGTAAGTTCTCTAGCTCGAAGCACTCGCACTGGCTAGATAAACGGAATATGCGCATAGCAATTAGCCTATGTGAGATAATGTGAAGATGACTTGATATCTGCATATGCTTTATTAATAGAGGTTCTCCACCAACTTAATTAAGCACTTTTTAGCATATGGTTAAACTGTTTGTCATATAAAGTTATCATGTTACCCCATATTTTCTATGCACACTCTTCTCCTACATCTAATCTATCGAATGACAAATGTATTGAAATATGTTGATTTTATGGATCTAGGAAGCATTATTGTTTTCTTACTTGTATTGTTTTATCAGTTCTTTGAGCCCTTATAATCTTACTCTGGATCCAAGTATTTAGATGAAAAAGTTGTTTTTATCCTTTAACTTTTGTTGTAATATAATGTTGTTGCCATATGTTATTCTCTGTTTGGCTGATTGAAAATAGTGATTGTTGCGTTTTAGAACATTTTATATGGCATTAGACAATTTTTTTTTCTTTGGGCAGGATGAAGATCTCTCATTTTCACAAGTTCGAAGTAACTAATGAGACATGAGATTATGTGAAAAGGAAAAAATATAGGACTTTGTCTAATTGAAATAATTTCACTAATGTGAGTAATGATTCGTAGAGGTTTTCAGTTTCTATGAATGGATAAATCATTAACATATTGTATTAAATTTCTTCCATCATGAAACTAGGACGATTCTTGAAATGCCAGTTTTCATTAGGCAATGAGGATTGAATGATAGTTGTTAATGGCTGTTAGAAGCTAAGAGATGTAAGAGCATCGGCTTGATCATTCTTCTTGTAAGAAGTTAGATCAGGCAACTAGAAATATAAATATAGCAATCATTGGAAATTAACAAACATTGGATATTGGGGAATTTCTAAGGTTGGCTGATGGTGGTGGTCAATTGATTTTTTTCTTGATTGAAGGGGATACCATGCAACTGGGAAAAACATGTGTTTTGTTCATGGTTGTTGAATTTTTAACATTATCGGTAAGCAAGCGTCGAGCAATGATTCCTAAAAATGTTGGTGCTCAACTTAATCTCTCTTGATATAAGGGGAGTTGGGCAATTGAGAAGATTGATGTTAAATATTGGTCATTAATATGCATTAGGCTACGATTAATAAAGCCCTTAAGAAGTAGAGTGAATGCAGTGTTTGAGAGTGGAGAGGAGGGGGTGCGGGGGTAGAAGGCGCCAATTGATAGTTGAGGACATGTAGCGAGTAGCGGCTTATAGTTAACACTTGATGACATGTGGTGCCAATGGTGAGCTATAAGTGCTAGTTGAATGCCGATAATAATTGGATGACCAAGGAGCGATAAGTGCCAGTTGATGCTTGATGACGAATGGTGACAGATAATGGGTGTTAGTGTCACTCAACAACTAATGATAGGCCATGGTTAATCGTAGGTTGGCTTCGAATTCTCTTCAAGCCTCATATTTCTCTCATATTTCTCTCAGCTCAATATTTTTCTCTAAATATGTAGAAATCTAGTTTATTTATAAATTTTAGAAGTAAGCATTATGATTATTTCTAAAGAATCAAAACAATTCATTAAATGGTATGAATAGTTTCCATTTAGTTATTCTAATTTTTATAAACGTTATATTATCTTAACAAATTGAAAATTGTGCACTTGAATGAATTTTTTTTTCTTTGGATTTATTTTAAGAAGTGAATGTGGGTAGATAGATCTGGCACTTGAAATTTTGTTTATTTGGTAATTCCAAATTCATAAAAAGTTGTGCTAGTTATTGTTCTAGTTTTTACTCATATTTTGATTGTCAGGATTATATTTGAAAATGGATTGTTTTGCATATTGTTAACAAAATTCAGCGAATCAACACTTAAAAGACAAGAATCATCTAATTGAGAAACTCCAAAATTATCATTAATCACTATTATAGCTCTAGGAAACTAGTTATATGTATGTTCGAACGCTTAATAGGTGATGCCTCAAATTATGAACTTTTAACCATTTGAATTATTGTAGATTTTAGTTCAAAGTTATAAGCTTGAATGCTTGGTCTATTGATGTTTTGGTGAACTCCATCTACCAATGGTGAGGCGTGGTTTCTTCACGTTGATTTTTCTATGTAATTGGGTTGGCTTGTCATGCTTTGAATTTATTTATTTTCTTTCTCAATTCTTTTACAAGTTTTTAAATTTCAAAGTTATATGGCACTAGCTCTACGTTGTCTACACTAAAAATAGGACACCAACTAAGTATAAAAATACAATTACTTCTCGAGAGTGGCAATAACAAAAAAAAATAGCTAGTTACAATATAATAACACAACTTGAACAAAATAGTTAATCACAAATTACACCACATTGAAAATACAAAACAACAAACAAGAAGAAATCAACAATTAACTACAAATAGGATAACAATAGGATGGTAACAATGCAATAAATACTTTTAAATTAAGAAAAAAAGCTCATTAGTTGTGGTTCATTAAACTTTTTATAATCCATTTTATAATTTTTTCTACATAAAAAGTGATTATCAATCAATAATTATTATATTTCTACATAAATTTGAATCATAAGTTTGTATTAAGTATTATTCTTAAATGAGTGTAGTTAAATTGAGTATTTTTTTCCTCTCTAAATTAATAAATTTATTGATATATATATTTCTCAAGTTTTAAATAACTTTTTTTGATATTAATAAATGTTGGATATTTTAAATTAACACATCCAAATGATGAATTAAAATAAGTTCAAGTTATGTCATTAACTAATTTTACCATTTAACACGACACAAATTTTGAAACATTTCTTTAGCATAATTTAGAGTCAAATTAAAAATCATTCAGCTTTGAATTTAGCAAACTTATAATCAAATTGGCTGACGAGACGAGCCCAATTATGCCAAAATCAATCCAAATCGAGCCAAATCTAGTCTAGATCAAACTGTTAAACAACATTTGGAGACTTTGAATAATTGATTGAATGGTCAAATGAACACCTAATTTGATGTATTTATAGTCAAATCGATCGTCTCGACGAGAGGAATATGACTAGCCTAATATCACTCAATTATAAGGTAATTAAGGCCCTCAAATCATCAAAATATCTCCTAAAATTAAGGGGAGTCTAGTTGGGCTGATCGATTGAGTGGTTATGTGAGTTATTTTCTCAATGACCAAAATGTCTCTCTCCGGGAGCCTATAAATAAACCCTTATCTTCACCTGAGGTGAGGGGAAGAAGAGGAAAAAAAAGCCTATATCCAGTTTATTTTTGGACTGAAGACTCCACGAAAACTCTCGACCTCTGTAGCTGTTTAACACTATCAACCACTACTGACCACCCACTGCTCACCATCATTTGTGGACTTTGCAAAGTACTGACACTCATTGTGGAGTAATGAAGTACTCGATTTAGCGGCGAAGTATCATGCATTGTTCCAAATATTGTGCAACGACGTGCCTCTATTGATTACCAATGTATCAAAGGCCCAACGATAACTTCAGCAACAATTGCTTTCGATCACTGCACATCGAACCTTTATGTATACAAACATTGTACTTGGGGAAACCTTGTAGCATGTTCTCGGTTGTGGGAAACTTTATACTTACAAACTTATAATGGATCATTTTAACTAGGCTTGACCGGTGGTTTTTTTTCTCTCTTCTAGTTTTCCATATAAATATTCCGGGTATCTTCTCCAATTTCTTTTATTATTTGTGTGTTTGTTGAACTATGTACAATGCTGAGATGTTAAATTATTACTGTACGATCATGAAAATTATGTTATGACACACTTGGCTCCTTTTGCAGGAACTGAAGCCTCGTTTATAGAAGTGTACACTTCATCAATGACCAATAAATGCAGTACGCGAGATTTGTGCTCTAACACCTGTCATTTTAGGGCATAGTCTCAAAGTGTCGGGCATGAAGCCTTTGACTCATTTTCCAATGATACACATCACCCAACTAGTGAGGGAACCTCCCTTGCACCACTTGAAGTTTGTGTACGAAGAATGGAGGAATCTCAAAATGAGATTCCTCCAACTCCTACACAAAGTTAGATAACTAACGGTTGCACGTACATGAGGTGCACAACTACATCAAAGTCCATTGAATGGATAGAGGTTTATTAGTGGTGCCCATTCACACAACCATAGTTCCTCCTAAGAATGTTGAACTCATGGATACTACTAGCTCTACACATCCACCTTCTCAACCAAGCTTGGCAGCAACCTTTCAACATTCCTAGAGAATTTAGCTTGATCTCACACAATCTGCTTTGAGTAACGACGTCTAGTCAGGGAGGAGTTTCTTGTGAGGGATATAAGTTATTTCTTAGCTCAACATGGATCTTAGGAGTCTTCTCTGTTAGTTGAGATTGTCCATCAACATGCTATTCCAATGGCAAACATTGATGCATATGATGGGACTTCTGATGCCGATGATATAGTTGTGCAAAATATATAAAGTTACTCCGCTTTACAACGGTGCCAAAAACTTGACATGTTAATTTATGAATAAGAAATTTAAGCAATTTATGTAAGGATTCTACACAAGTATACGTATCGTTATCAAGTAATACAATACTTTCTGTTTAAGCCCCAAATATCGATCCCACGAGGAAGGTTTAAATTTAAATTGATAAATTAACTATGAAATTCACAATAATAAAATAAAATTACTCACTAATTTTGAATATTTAATGTACTATCAGAACTAAATTATTAACTACTAGCAAAACTGAAATGCAAAGTTTAAATAGAGTTTAAATCAAACTATGTTTATGTGATGAAGTTATTTAATATGAAAAAGCATCTTTCCCAC